ACACGGCCTTGCGAGACAGCATGCCGCATGGAAGGGCCCACGCCACGCGCTACCCAAACCAAGTGTGGTCATGCGCCACGCGCACTACAGCAGCGCGACGACAGAAGCCACGCAAGGCGCCTCCTCAAAACCACGTAAAAACCACTCAAAACCACGCCAGGACCACGCGTACACATGTGTACGCGACCGCGACCATGCAAAAACCAAGTAAAAACCAGACAAAACCATGTGGAAACCACACGTAAACTTGTGCGCGCTGATGACGGCCGTGCCAAAACCAAGTAAAAACCATTCAAAACCAAGTAAAACCACTCACGTTGGCCCAAACATACTGGGAGATCGGCCTCAGCAAAACCATGTAAAAACCACCCAAAACCACGTCAAGACCACGCGTAAACATGTGTACGCGACCGCGACCATGCAAAAACCAGATAAAAACCAGACAGAACCATGTGGAAACCACACGTAAACTTGTGCACGCGGAGGACGGTCGTGCCAAAACCAAATAAAAACCATTCAAAACCAAGTAAAAACCACTCACGTTGGCCCACGGCGGCTTCGAGCAAGACAGCTGCCATGCGCAGTTGCCAAAATAATGTTAAGTGGGTTCGGCATGTGCACTTCGCACCGCCCTTAAGCTGCATTGCCGCGGCCACTCGACATCGGAAACACTTTTCTCGCACACCACTGATGCTGGATGCATTCGTTTCGACAGCAGTTCGCCGATCTGTAGGCGCATGGCGGCACAGTGTGGGAGTTGGCCTTGCAACGCCCAGGCGGCGCGCAGCTGATGCGGCACTTCGCGTGAGCGCGGGCGACGCATAAATGGGGAAACAGCGATGGCGTGTCCGAGATTGTCGGCGGCTCTTAGAACTGGCCCAGTAAGATCACCAAGGAGTGCGAAGTGGTTTTCCCGATGGGGAGCGCCGACATGGACCCTTCACCGTCCTCGCAATCGTCCTCGCCGCCGCCGTCATTATCCTCATGTCTGTGTGTGTGATGGGGGTGGTGTGCTGGGTGGGGAGGGGGGTGTTCGGCACGTCTTGCGATCCTTTCGGGTAGGTCCACGTGCCCCCAGGCCGACGTTGCTGCAATCCCCACAAGCCGAAATCAATCCCCCTGTGAGGATTTTCTGTACTTGCGTAAAACGAACAGATGTGGGTGTGGTGGGGTGGGGTCGCGGTGCTGGTGATGGTGGTGATCGTGTTGGTGGTGGTGGTGAGGTGTCTGCGCGCGGTGGTGGTGGTGCGCGGGTGGCGGGAGGGGGGCGGTCGTTGGGCGGGCGGTGGCGGTGTGTGTCTGGGGGGGGGGGGGGGGGGGGGGGTGTATAGCATATGCAATATATTGTCATGGTTCGTGCGCGTGTGTGGGGGGGTCGGTGGGTGGGTGGGCGGGGGGGGGGGGGCGGGGGCCAACGCCGCGCGTATCATAACTTCTCGCATGTGTCCACTGCCCTTAGGGCCGATATTTCCACAATCGCCCTGACACTAAAAATGAAATCCCGCCTCTTGGAGTTTGTGGTACTGGCGTGCGAATCCACATGTGCGGGTGGGGTGCGGCGGGTTGGTGTGGGGTCGTGGGGGTGGTGGTGGTGTGTGTGTGCGCGGGTGTGTGTGTGTGTGTATGTGTGTGCGTGTGGGGGTGCGGGGTTCGTGGTGGCGGTTCGCGTGCGTTCGACGGCGAAGCGTCATATGACAGACCGCTGCGGGCGCATAGAGGGAGGAGCGCGTCGCATTTGTAAACAACCGCACATTTCGGGCCTGCACCTCGGTGCTGCATTCTGGGCCGCGTCGCGCGAAACTCGCGCACGACATGTCTGCGCATTTGCCGCGTGCTTTGTAAAACTTTCGTCGGACCAGAATTGTCGCACAGCCGAATGCGGTCATGAACCCCGTGGCTGCCGAGAAGGAAAACGTCAACATGCGGGGGTGGGGTGGGCTAAGGTGGGGTCGTGGTGGTGGTGCTGGGTGGTGGTGTGGTGCGTGTGTGGATGGGGTGCCGCGCATTGTGCGTTGTGGGCCCCGCGCGCCCCAGTGGGGCCCCTGGTCATGAACGCAACCTCGGGGGATACCGATACCATGGGTGGTAGCATGCCAGTTGTTCGTGTATCACAGCAGCTACTCCTGCATGCCAGCTGTGCGCGTATCGCAACAGCGGTGTCTGCATGCCAGCTGTTCTTGTATCGCAACAGATACGCATGCGTGCTAGCTGTTCGTGTATAGCAACAGCTATTTCTGTATGCCAGCTGCTCATGTATCGTTACAGTTATTTCTGCGTTCCAGCTGTTCGTGTATCGCAACAACCACGTATGCGTGCCAGCTGTCCGTGTACCGCATTATATACTTCTGCATGCCAGCTGCCCGTGTATCGCAACAGCTAGATCCGCATGCCAGCTGTGCGTGTATCACAACCGCTCTTGTTTGTATGGCCGCTGCGCGTGCACCACAACCTATACTTATGCATGCAATTTGCTCGTGTATCACAGCATATATTTCTGCATGTCAGCTGTGCGTGTTTCACAGCAGCGATTTCTGCATGCCAGTTGTTCGTGTATCGCAGCAGCTAGTTCTGCACGCCAGATGGTCGTACATCGCGACAGCGACTTCTGCATATCAGCTGTTCGTGTATCGCAGCAGCTGCTGCTGCGTGCCAGCTGTGTGTGTATTGCAGCAGTCAGTTCTGCAGGTCAGCAGATTGTGCATCACAACACCTACTTATGCATGCCAACTGCTCGTGTATCGCAACAACTACTTCTGCATGCCAGCTGGCCGTGCCTCGGATCAGCTTGTCCTGCATGCCAGCTGTGCGTGTATCGTAGCAGCTGCTTCTGCACGCCAGCTGTTCGTGTATCGCAACAGCTACTCCTGCATGCCAGCTGTGCGTGCGTCGCAACAGATATGTCTGCATGCCAGGTGTTCTTGTACCGCAACAGCTACGTACGCGTGCCAGCCATTCGTGTGTCGCAACAGCTATTTCTACATGTCAACTGCCTGTGTGTCGCAACAGCTCTTTGTCTATGTCAGATGCTCGTGTGTCGCAACAGTTATTTCTGCATGCCAGCGGTCCGTGTATCGCAACAGCTGCTTCTGCATGGGATTATGAATGTCCTCTACAAGGCAAGGGCGTTCCAAGTAGGGAACAATGGTGTCCTCCACAAGAGCGTGAATCACCAATGGCGCTTTAAGTAGGGAGCAGGGCCGTCCTCCACAGGGCCCCTCTAAACAGGTACCAGGAATGTCCTCCACAAGAGCGCAAATAACCAAGGGCTGGCGTTCTCATTTGGAAACAGGGGTGACATCCACAATGGCGCTCTAAGTAAGGAGCAGGGGTGTCATCCACAAGGGCGTAGATCATCAAGGGTACTCTTAAATAGGGGGCAGGAGTGTCATCCACAGGCGCGCTCTGAGTAATGAGCAGGGGTGTCACCCACAAGGGCGTCAATCATCTAGGGCACCCTAAGTAGCGAACAGGAGTGTCCTCCACCAGTGCGCTTCGTATGGGACAGGAATGGCATGTGCGCCTCTTGACGCCTCCAGCAGTGGTGGTCGTGTTGGTGTGGGGGGGGGGGTGGTCGTGTTGGTTATGGTGGTCGTGTTGGTGGTGGTGGGTGGGGGGGGTGGTAGTGGTCGTGTTGGTGGTGGTGTTGGTGGTAGTTGTGTGCTGTGTGTGTTGTGGTGGTAGTGGTGGTGGGTGGGGGGGATTGGGGAGGTGGTGATGGCGGGGGTGGGGGGTATATTTCATGTGTTACATGCTGCCATGTTGTTTTATTATGTGTGCGTGCGTGCGCGCGTGTGTGCGGGGTGGGGTGGTGGGGGAGGCAATGCGGCATGTATCAGGATTCTTTCGACGAAGTCCACGTGCCATCGGGCCGAAATTTCTACAACCCCCCCCCCCTTTGGGAGGTCCTGCGCAGGAGTAGGGCAGGAGCGAAGAGCGATGTAGGTTCGGGGGCTAATGTGTCCATCTGACAACGCGTGCAGAGCACGTGTAGAGCATGGTCAGAGCTGGGGGGTGCGCAGCAGTAGGAGCACATGAACCCATCATCGGAGTACTACGCTATAGTTGGGGTCCGAAGAGTGTCGGCCAGGAGAAGAGCCGAGCAAGGAGTAGTTGCACTGGGTGGGGAACCGTTGAACAGTGTAGAACAGGGCTGATTAGAATGGTGTCACGAAAGCTACGCATTTCACATCAGAAGATACATTGCACGCTTGTCATTGTAGTAGTTGCGTTCCGCTCACGCCTATTTGGAGTCAACGCCAGCATGCATGTATCGTCGGGCACCCAAAGGCGCAGGTGCGGGCACGGGGCAACACACAGCTGTGCGACACCATACTATGGTCTTGCGCCAGGGCGCTTCATGGTTCGGGGGTGGTGTCTCCTTCATGCTCATCTGTGCTCTTGAGATTGAAGCCTACGGGGCCCTTGCCAACACGAATGCATTCGAGCCGCCTGGCCAACGAAGGCCAAACCAATCATTCGTGACCTGGGCGCTCCTGTTCCGTAGCTGTTTCTTGTGGCTTGCCAGAGGCGTTGCCATCTGAGGTCTTTCTTTGACCGTGCGTGCCCACCTTCCTACCGCGCGCAGTCCGTCGGCGATGTCGGGCAGCCCCGTGGGCAGTGACGTTGAGATCAGCAGCTCTGGTCGAGCGTCCGGGCTTGGGCCCCCCCGCGCCCTTGGCGGTGACCTGGGGGTGACCCTGGAGGTGTGTGAGCTGTGCGAGGAACCTGGTGGCCTGAATGCTACGTACTTCGGCAAGAAGTTGCACGTGGTGCGCGTGCACGCAGTGAGGGCACGCCGCCGAGTCGTGCAAGGTCGGAAACACAACGCTGTATCTAGAGTAATATTGTGTGTCGTTATGTTTGGTTGGTTGTTGTTTTTGTTTGTACTTTTGACGTCTGTGTGTTATCCTTTGTGTGTGCGTGCGTGTTTACTCTATCCCACATACATGCCTCTCAGAGATACTTCCATGGTTTTGTCATTGGGCGCCGCAGGGACCGAGCATGCCGAGACTGACTCTGCAAACTTCAAGCACAACAAGGCGCAGTGGCGGGCAGATGTTCTTCCTTTCAAATGTGCAGATCGCACCAGTGCGATTTCTCAAGTGCGGCAGGCGCTGACAATCGAAAGTGACATGAAAGTCGAGCGCAGCCTCAGCGGCAGGAAGGTCAAGAAGCTCACGAAGAAGCGCTACGCGCACTACATGAACAGGAAGGAGGGCATGGAGCTCGACGCGGCGGAAGATAACTTCGAGGACCTCTTCGAGGAGAACCCCCTCTACAATTCGGACGGCGAGGAGGTGGTGGAGGTCAAGGGGGACAGCTACGACGTCCGTGAGAAGGGCACCGAGATCAACAAAGGGAGCCTGACGAAAACGGTGCGCTCCTCAAGTGCGGCCCCCAGCGGTCTTCAGAACCTCGGCTCCCATCAGGTCTTGGCAACGCCGTCAGCTCGGCCCGCTGAGTCCGTCATCTCTGGAGGAGGTCTTCGCGGCGACGAGAAAGGCCCGACCGTGCGCACAGGTGCTGGCCGCCGAGGCTCGAAGAGGCAGCGACTCGGCGGCGAAGATAAAGGAGAACACGTGGTGGCCCTCCAGGAGAAGGAGGACATGATGAAGCGCCTCAGCGACATGATGAAGCCCTTGGCTGGCGCCAAGAGCGCGACCGCAAAGCTGAAGAAGTTGTGGGACAAGCACCGTGCAGAGGTTGACGCCCCGAAGGACTGCGGTGAAATAATCGAGAAGCTCGAGGCCGTGAGCAAGGAGATCAACGACTTGCATGCGGTTGTCAGCAAGAGTGTCCCTGAGACGGTGAACGAGCACGGCGACAAGCTCAACACGTTGGAGACGAAGCAGGGCGAGTTCTCCAGCCTGGCTGCCACCCGCATTGCCAGTTTGGAGTACATCAATGCCACCGTTGTGGAGGGCAAGCGTAAGGTGTACTTGGCCATGCGCCACCAGACGAAGAAGGTACCACAACTTCGACCCTGAAACCTCGGACCTTCTTGTCGTCGCCGTTGTCGTCGTCGATGTTGTCATCATCATCCTCGTCGGATCTGGAAGCAAGTCTTCATCATCGTCGTCATCGTCGCCTTCCGCATGCCCGTCCTCGTTGTCGTCTTCGTCTTCGTTGTCGTCGCCATCGTCGTCCTCGTCGTCATCGTCGTTCGAGGTTCGTGGGGACCTCGTCCTCATCGTCGTCATCGTCGCTGGCCTCGTCCTCATCGTCATCGTTCCCGTCGTCGTCCTCGTCGTCGCGGTCCTCGTCTTCGCCGTCGTTCGCGTCGTCGTCGCTGTCGCCTGGACACATGAAGGTCGTCGACGCTTTGAAGGGCGGAGGCTTCGACGCCAATCTGGCGAAGTACGTGGGCGGCATGACCTTCAGACTCTTCGCCGAGGCTGAGGAGCTGAAGGAGACGGCTGGCCATGCAGTCGTGGCTTCTGTCGGCGCGGACGTGGTACTGAACCCTGAGAGGGAGATTGACTTGACCAAGAACGTGGTGGCTTGGACAGTGCCGCCCGAGAACGTCCAGAAGATGGTCACCACGTTGAGGGATCAGATCGCCGAGGCCACAGAGAAGTCCGACGTGGCGATGGCGAGGAACATTTCGACATGGAACGGCTGCCAGACCAAGGTCAACTTTCCAGAGACAGATTTCGGGTTCGGCGAGAACTTGCATGCTGGAAGTGGCCCGTTCGTGGCCACCGCAAAGAAGAACGCCGTCCGCATTGGGCCGTCTGCGTTCCCATTGGTAGGTTGGCAGGGCTACGTTTATCCAGTGAAGGGTAATCTCATCGTGTTCCTCTTCGAGATATCCGAGGTCTTGAGCTCGGGCATCGCCCTGAAGGACATGAAGAAGTCCTTGTCGACAGCGACGGCCGAGCAGTTCTTCGAGACGAGTGTGCAGGCAGTGTATTTACCAGTTGGCACGTGTTTGTCGACGCCGATTGGCACGTTCGCGGTCCCCCTCTTCTACTCGGACGCCAAGGCGCAGAAAGCAGATGCGACAGCAGACTGGGCCCATTTCATCCACATGCCAGTCTTCGCGCACCCGCCCAAGCCAGTCCACAAGGGCGTCTTGACGGGGATGAACGACATCATCACAGCTCACATGGCGCCGCTGACGAACGAGATGTGGGTCTCCAGGAAGAACTACTGGGCTACGTTCTACAGTGGCCTGATCAAGGAAACTTCGGAGTCGAGCTGAGGGCTTGACTGGACCTTCGCCCTTTCCTCTCCCATGCGTCCTCGAATACATCAGCTACTTGTGTCATTCTCCCACGGAGTCATCATTCACATGTGTGTGCTGCAGATAGTTGTTGCATGATGTTGCTCATGGCGCTCGTGACCCATGCTACCACTCCCCAGACTCCCCTCCCGAAGCGATGTTGGCCTGGACGGGCTGTCCGTGCGCCTCCGTGCAGGGTTTCTTTCTGGAATGCGAGAGGCGCATTCAGAACTAGGATGCACGAAGGATTATGTCAATCAGCACGCGAACCACGCAGAAAACATGTTGAGCAAAACCGTCACCACATCATCACATGCTGGTCGTATTGTTTCGTCTTGAGGGCGCATCCGCCCGATCTGTAACTCTGTGTATATCTTGGTAGGTGGGCTGAGCGATCGGAAGTAATCGGTTGCGCTGCCGCGCAATTCCGCCACCGCCCTCGAGCAACCAAACGCGCATGCCGACAATCGGAAACGATATGGGCTAATTGCCGAACTCTTGGAAGCCTCCTGACGGGGGGCTGGGGGCCCTGGGGGCCTCACAAAGCCCCCCCCCCACCCCGAAGAGACCTCCCAAGAAGTCCTGGAAGGGCCCAAGAAGGGCCCAAAGGCACACCAAATAGGGTTTATAACCAAAGCCTCGAGTTATATACGCAACTGGGGGCCTCCTGCAACCCTCTTGGAGGCCTCGTGGGGCCGTGGGAGGCTTCAGAAGAGCCCCCAAACATACCCTCCAGGAGCTCCGAGACGGGCCCAGGAATGGCCCGAGAGGGCCCCAGGAGGGGTATATAACCAACGCCTCAAGTTATACACGCCACTGGGGGTATCCTGGAACCCCCTTGGAAGCCTCGCGTGGGGGGGGGGGGGGCTTCGGAACCCTGGGGGATCTCACAAGCGTTCCAAAGACATCTCCCAAGAGCTCCGAGATGGCTCCACAGTGGCCTCGGGGTTGCCACGGAGGACCCCAGGGAGCCCTTGAGAGGGCCCTGAAGTAGGCCCAAGAAGGGGCGCAAGAAGGCAGAACACGTAGCTTGTAGAGCATATGGTTAAACATTGTGGTTTGACCCCGCCTCGGCGCCCTCCTTGGACCCCATCGGAGCTCGATACTTGCCTCTCTCACTGGAAGCGTGCGCTGTTGAGTTGGCCGCTGGGTCGTTGCATGTTCCAATGTATTGGTCGGGCTGGGCAGTCCTCGTGGTACTCAGTTGCGGCAAACACACAGAAGTGTGAATGTGTTGGTATGGCTGGGACGCCCGCGTGGTGTCCAATTCTGGTTCGCACAAAGTAGCCGCGTGGTGATAATCAAACCGTGCTTTAACGCCTCGAAAAAACAGGCATAGCGTTATGGTGCCTGGCAGCGTTACCTCCCATGCGTCTCACATCGTACCGATGTAGGGTGTTTGTTTAGTACAACTTGCAGGGCCCACATCTGTTTACGCTGTCCTGTACCCACCCTTGAGTGTTTACGCTCGTTCTACACGCGCCTCCCGCAGACGGGCTGATTAACGCTCCTGGGCCGAACACCAATGTGAATCCAGAGGCGAGGGGACAGCGGGACAGTGGTGGTGACAGTGGGGACAGTGGGGACAGTGGTGGGGACGGTAGTGGTGGGGACAGTGGTGAGGGCGGTGGTGAGGATGGTGGTGGAACAATGGGACAGTGGTACATTGGGGAGAGTGGTGGGGACAGTGGAGATGGTGGGACCGTGGTGGGGACAGTGGGGACAGTGGGACAGCACGGGGGGACAGCAGTGGGGACAGTGGGACAGTGGTGGGGACAGTAAGGACAGTGGGACAGTGGTGCGGACAGTGGGGACAATGGAGAGAGTGGGACCGTGGTTGGACAGTGGTGGGGACAGTGGGGACAGTGAGACAGTGGTGGGGGCACAGGTGGGGACAGTGGGGAACAGTGGGGACACTGGGAGAGTGGGGACAGTGGGGCAGTGGTGCGGACGGTGGTGGTGGGGACAGTGGTGTGGGGAAAGTGGGACAGTGGTGGGGACAGTGGGGACGGTGGGGGCGGTGGTGGTTGGGACAGTCGTGAGGTCGGTGGTGGGAACGGTGGTGGGACAATGGGACAGTGGTACAGTGGGGACAGTGGTGGGGACATTGGGGACAGTGGTGGGAACAGTGGGACAGCTCAGTGGGACAGTGGCGGGGACAGTGGGAACAGTGGGACAGTGGCGGGGACAGTGGGGGAGAGTGGGACAGTGGTGGGGACAGTGGGGACAGTGGGCAGAGTGGGACCGTGGTCGGAACAGTGGTGGGGACAGTGGGGACAGTGCGACAGTAGCAGGGGCAGTGGTGGGGACCCTGGGGACAGTGGTGGTGGGGACGGTGGTGCTGGGGACAGCGGTGAGAGCGGTGGCGGGGACGGTGGTGGGGACCCGGGAGTCGTTTGCCGGCGGTGGGGGGGGGGGGTTCGACTTGGTAGTGACCCCCCCGGGTTTTCCGGAGGGGGGGGGAAGGTTCAAGGGGGAGGGGGGTTTGCTTGGGGAGGGGAGGGGGGGGGGTCGAGCAAGGGGGGGGGATTTTCGGAGGGGGAAGGGGGGGACCCCCGGGTTCCGGAGGAAGAGGTGTGGGCAATTTTCTACAGTAAAACCGCGGTGGATCGCGCTCTCTCGGTGGTGGATATCTCGTTGTATATGTATATGTATGTGTATATGTAAATACAGATGTGTGTAGGTATAGGTTTACGTGTATGTATGTATATAGATACATACATACATACACATGTGCATGCTCCTGTGAATGCGTACGTCTCTACGTGTGCGTGCATGTATATATTTATATACTTGGATCTTTATATGTCGTAGAAATCAACGTAGTTACATCTGCAAAGGTAAGTGTACATGTAACTGCACGTGCAAGTGTGTAAGTATATGTGAAGAGCCCTCTCAGCCGCATCCGCTGAACACAAATCCCCATACCGAAGCTTTCCTGGGTACCATCCTGGCCCAGAGGAGGAAAGCATCATAATGAGGGAGATGGAGGAAGACGAACCGCTTTTGGTGTGTGTGTGTGCGTGCGTGCGTGTGTGTGTGTGTGTATGTGTGTGCGTGTTTGTGTGTGATGTGCTCGCGCTCTGTTTCACTGTTGTATGTTGGCTTGGTGTATGTGTGTTGTTGCTGTTGTTTTCGAATCATGTGGTGGTTTCAAAACATTGGGAGACGTTCGGATTGCTTTCTGCAGCTTCTGCAGGCTACTGGACTTGATGGGAATCTGATGACGAGGCGGAGGTGGAGGAGGAGGAGGAGGAGGAGGAGGAGGAGCAAGAGGATGAGGGGGAGAAGGACAGGCTAAGGGGGCTCGCGCCATATCTGACATCCTACACCTCCCACCCATTCCTTCCCACTGCGTGTTTTTTTCTTTATCCGCGGACGCGTGCCATAGCGGACCTGGAGCTCCAAAAAGGGCCCCATCGTGGCATGCGCACTCGGAGGGCGGGAGCTGCACACACTCGAGGAGGAGGTGGCAGCTGAGCAGGAGGATGCGCAGGAGGCACGAGAGGGGGGACGAGGAAGGAGGAGCACGAGGAGAGGAGCAGCTGCAGCAGGAGCGTGGAGCGGGAGAAGCGGGAAGGAGCAGGATGAGTAACCATGCGAAGGCGGGGGAGGGGAAAGGAGCGGGGCGACAACCACGAGGAAGCCATCGGATCCTGAATTGGGGCCTGCGCCGGGGCGAGAGCGCCAGTGTGACCGATGGGAGCAAGGCGCCGATCCCAAAATTCACCACCCACCAAACCACCCCAACCCAACCCGAAGGCCCCAATTTATCCTCGATTTCCAGTTGGGGGGGGTCGTGGAACATCGAGAAAACACATATGGAACCCGTACCCCCCCCAACCCGAAATTCGGGTCTTCGGGTTGGGTTGGGGTGGTCTGGTAGGTAGTCAAAAATGAAGCCAACGCAGAGCACTGCAGCGGGAATAACATGTCGAGATACCGAAGACGCTCCGTTTGAACCAACACAAGGACAGACGGGAGATGGGAACTAGATTCAAACCCGCGCACAAGATGGGCCAGCTTACGTGCACCGGTGTACTGGGCGAGAGTTGAGAGTCCGAGACCGCCGTTTTACCACCCTTTTCCCATGTTGACGTAACCTATGAAGAGCGCACTGGTCTCGCGTCGCCGCCAGACTACGCATTGTAATGATTAAGCGCCGCGGGGCCCGCTGGCAGAGACGCCTTCACCCCTACTCAAAGGTTGCTACGACGCGCCGTTCTACGCGGGGTTGTTCAACTCCAATTTTCAAGAGGGGAGATGTCTGGGGGGGGGGCAGGCGCGCGGGTAATCGCGCTGCGCGTGCTATGTGTGGCGATGGCGATAATGACGATCGATATGTAGATGTGGTTCGATCTTAGTGTCCATGCACGGTATCGACTTGAAATCTTGTGCGCAAGAACCGCTACGCGGAGGGGGTCGTTCCACCCCCTGGCGATCTCAGGGGAGAGGGGTGTCGTATTGATATTGAGTTTGTGCGAGGAGGTCTTTGGTCATTTCTGAAATTTCAAGAGGATTCCCAGGGCTCGTGAGGGAGGAGGAGGAGGACACAGAACAATAGTAATAATCACAATAGTAACGATAATGATAATCACAAGAAGATAAAGAAGACGAGGAGGAGGAGAAGGAGGAGGTGGAGGAGGAGGGGGAGGACTCGAATGAGGAATGACCCACACCTGAGGATCTTCAAAGCGGTGTCCCATGGCTGCTTCGAGGCTTCCTGGGGGGGGTGAGGGTTCCTGCAAGGTCTCCGCCTGCTCCTCGGCCACCTGCTCCACACTGCGAATGCGGCCAAGGCCAAGTGCGGCCGGGAACGCACCGGGAAGCTCCGGCCCTCCGTCTTCGAAGCTCGTTGATCCTCGAACCTGCGCGCATCGGGGAACGAACAATGACATAAACATGACAACTCGAGGGTCCGCGCGGATGTCTCGGATCCGCGCTGGACCCCCCTGGCGGCGCCTCCAGCGCCGCTCCTGGCGCGCTCTGCGCGCCAGGGAGGGGGGTCCAGCGCGAATCCAAGAAATCCGCGCGGACCTCCGAGTTTTTATGTTTATGTCATGTTTCGTGCCCCTAGCACAACACCCCCACCTCTTGTCGTGATAAAACATCTCAGCGGGAGGTTTTTGGGCCGTGCTTGTGAAAGAGCACGACGTCGGAGTTTTGGGTAGGTCCTCGTCGGTCGTGGTGCCGACGCGACAGCGGCCCTGGCGCAGCCGTTGAAGCTCGAACGCCGCCCGTGGAGCGGAACATCAACGGACGTCGGGCGATCCGCGCCATCAGAAGGTCGCGATCGCTCGGGGTCGAACGATCCACTCGGTTTCGGAAGCAAGCGCGCAGGTCGTCACGACGCGAGGTTCACCGTACGTAAGCTGCGAGTGCATGAGAGGTCACGCTTGCCGCCGAGGTCCGAACGACCAGACGAAGCTGACGAAGCTGACGAACGGCGGCCGCAAGCTGAGCATCGGAAGCAGCGCG